ATAACACGCTTCGTTGTACTACTTTAACTACATATATAGCATGTTATAGTATATGTTAGTGTAATCATTATTTATATTACAAAAGTGTTAACGGATTACATTTATATTATTTAGATAGTAAATACAAAAGTGATTCATAATTTTGACCAATGTTGACCTACTAACCGACCAACTTTGGTCGGATATTTTCTAGAAATTAAAATATACCGACCAAAGTTGGTCGGTAAATGCTTCCCCTGAATTTTACTTTTACTTGTTCACTATACTAAATTAAGTGGCGTTTGGACGTAAGAACTGTTAAATTCAAAAAAAGTGAAAAAAAAATTCAAGTGAAAATGGTATTTGAAAATTAGAGTTGTGTTTGGACATGAATATAATTTTGGGTTATTTTCGAAGTTTTGTGAGTGATCTGAGTGAAGATTTTGAAAAACATCTTTTTGAATTTTTCAAATTTTCAAAAAATTCCAAAATGCATCTTCAAGTGAGAATGAGAAAATTTATGACTAAACGTTGATTTCGAAAAAAAGTGAAAATTTTTCAAAACAAAGTGAACAATTTCTTATGTCCAAACGTGCTCTAAATCACGAGAAAGACGATCTTTTTTTCCCCTATTTTACCCTTATCGTTAGCTACTCATTTCCCAAGACTTTAGGAAATGATATCATTATTATCGGTAAAATTGTAGAATATATACTTCATTTATTTTTTCTAATGGGAATACAAAGTCAAAAATTAAAAACTAAAAATAAACGGACGGAGTATTATATTATGCGGGATTTTGTGATGGGATTAATTTCTCAAATACCATAATCAAAAAATATACTTCCTCCATTCACTTTTACTTGTCCACTATACTAAAATATATTTTTACTTTTACTTGTCCACTATACTAAATTAAATCAAGAGAAAGACAATTTTTTTCCCTATATTGCCCTTATATCATTAGCTACTCATTTCCCAAGACTTTTGAAAATGATATCATTATTATCGGTAAACTTATAAAAAATATACTTCATTAATTTTTTCATAAAGGAAGTGCAAAGTCTAAAGTTAACAACTAAAAATAAACGAACGGAGTATTATATTATGCGCGGGATTTTGTGATGGGATTAATTACTCAAATACCAAAACCAAACGACCCCTTAGACATGTTAATTAAGCTGGTCCACTCATATTCAGAACTTTATAATAAAAATATCTACAATAAAGAGATCAAAACAACAGCTTTAATCTCCACCACTAATGGAAGTTAAAGTTAAAGCTGAATCTGAATCATCAACAGAAACAAATGAGGAAGAAGTTATTAACTTCAATCCAAGAAATCTCCAGAAGTATATAGGTGTTCGAAAACGTCCATGGGGAAAATTTGCAGCTGAAATTAGAGATTCAACAAGAAATGGAATTAGGGTTTGGCTTGGAACTTTTGATACTGCTGAAGAAGCTGCTATGGCTTATGATCAAGCTGCATTTTCTATGAGAGGTGCACAAACTTGCTTGAATTTTTCAGTTGAAAAAGTGCGCGATTCGTTACAGAGAATGGAATGTAGTTACTTGAAAGATGGATTAATGTCACCAGCTGTTGCCCTAAAAGAGAAACACAAGAAAAGAAATAGTAGTAATTCAAGAAAAGAAGGGAAAAAGAAGCAAGTGAATATTAAAGAAGAAGAAGAAGAAGAAGAAGAAGAAGAGAATGTGTTTATATTTGAAGACTTAGGTCCTGATCTATTAGATGAACTCTTATCTCAGAATTATTCCTCTTGTTCAAATTATTAATCTACTAATTTTCCCATCTGTAAGTAATCTACTCCTTGTTCATGGTTTTTGTTTTATAATTCTTTTTTAATTTAAATCGAGTCATGATTTTATTGTCACTGGACGGAAAATATACACTTTGTAGAAGGGGGCTCTATATTTCAATTATTGTTTCCTTCTTTCAACAAAAAATGAGCAAAATCCTATCCCAACTTATTGGAACCCTATACTAGGTAGAGACGGATTCAGGATTTTAGGTTTATGGATTCCTACCAAAATCTTGAGTTAATGTACAATACTAACGGGATGAACAGACTGGGTTCCAATAGCTAAATATTCTTATACATTTAATGAATTTTTCAATACAAATACCGGCTTTAGACAAAAGCTACTAGATTCACGATAACCCGTAGCTATTGAACTGAATGCGCCCTGACTAGGTTATTCAAGTTTGTGAATGGTGTTCTTTATCTCTCTTTTTGGGATATTTTTCATTGTTCATATGTGCAGAAATAAAAACTTAAATACAGATTTTATTTCCACCAACACTTGTTGGTATTTTTCTATATAAAAAGAATACATTTCATTTTCCATACAGGTTTTACTTTCAGATTCAGATATCACAAACGTAATCGATATCAAAGATTTTCAGCTAAAAGATTGTGATCTTCAAAAATTGTAAAGTCATTATCATCTCTCTTGACTTTAGGTTCCCACATTCTATAACAGTGCTTCAATCCAATCAAACTAATTATTATATTACTCATTAATCTAAGAATTAACAAAGCAGATTTTGATTAATTTGGATGTTTATTTTGGTCCCTTGTCCAAGTATGATCCTTGAATAGCATAAATTGACAATTATGGATATCATAAAGATTCAAAAATAAGAATTGTATCACTTTAGTGGTCGACTAATATTATTCTTCCTTTTCTTTTCACTGATGATGTCCCATTGTCCATGTTGAATGTTACATTTATGTGGTTCTTTTCTTTTTTATATGCAAAGCTTACTCACTCCATATTTATCATATTGTTTTTTTGCATTAGTCAATTGCTTGAATGCTTCTATATATGGAGGTCCTGCGTCTTTACTTTATATGCATAGTATCTAGAGGTGGAGCCAGGATTTCAATCTTATTGGTTTTGGATTTTAAAACGATAACTTCACGCGTTAATCGCTAGGCTTTAAATTTTATATTTATGCATATTTAATGAATTATAAACACCAAATACACTACAGGGTTCGGCTAAACTCATAATTTGGCTTGTGCCTCCGCCTTTGATAGTTTCTAACAAAGTATTAGGCAACCAAGTGTGTTAAGTGTCTCATATTGGTTGAGAGTAGTAGATTATTGAGTCATTCTAAGGTCTTGGGTAATTCTTATTTCAAAGCTAGTTATTGCATTGAGTTAAGCTCACGGTTTATTTTCTTAATATGGTATAAGTGCCGGACTTATCCCAAAGCTAGTTTGTGCTTATGCTATCCTGAGCTGAGGGTTTATTGGAAACAACCTCTCTATCTTCACAAGGTAGGGGTAAGGTCTGCGTACACACTACCCTCCCCAGATCCCCATAGTGTGGGATAATACTAGGTATATTGTTGTTGTTGTTGGTATAAGTGCCAGACTCATCTGCTTTCTTTGTTTGCCTAATGTTGGGTCCATGTTTTGTAATTTATGGTAATGATGTCAAGTCT